AGCAAGGGCTGCCACAATGGAAGTGGTTTTATAAACTTTCCTTTGATGTACCACAGTATTGAAAAAAACTTATTTTTCCAATGGAATAAAGTCTCTAAGTGAATCTGTCTGCTGAAAGGGGATACATGGGTAGTCCTGTGAATGGCCCTAGTCTCCTGAGAGCTGCATAATCTTGCCCTACTTTTAAAAATAGCCTTTCTAAAGCTAGAAACATTGGACATATCAGTTCCTTAGGCATATCTGTGTGATTCACCTATGTCAAGTCAAAGGCTTCTCAGATCAAAATTCTCTGTAAATCCAACAATATATTTTGTTTCAGAGGAGAAGTTATCCACTGCAAAGTTGGAGTCTTTACTTACAGAAGACAGCCGTAAAATAGACTTGGAAATTTTGCTTCAAACGAATCTCTCACAACATGTATAATCATTTACCACAGAGGTTCTGTTATATTGCTGAAAGTGTGAGCTGAGTCTTTTCACATTGTGTTTTAGTCTTTGAAAAGTGAGGTGCAAGGCATAGGGACTTTATTAGCTTAAAAAGGCCGCCCTCTGCTGGCAGAACAGAAGAAGTGACTGACGAGAGAAAGCTACCAACTTTGTATTTCACACTTCTTACTCGATGTCGGAAATTCAACACAAATTAATAAATAAACGTAACTACGCAACTATCACTTAACCCACATGACTCACTAATCAAAGTCGTATGTTTCATAATACTTGGGAAATAACTTTCAAATGGTAGTTAAGCTCTTTTAGGAAAACTTGTAATTTAATGTCAGCATTTGAGCTCTCAAAAACTCATCGACACTGGAAACAAATAACTGAACACTAACTTCACCTTCTGAATTTGTTAAAACAATACAAGTCTTTTTCCTTTTCTTTAACTTTTGCAAAACTCATTTCAGAGGCAAAAACTGGCCACGATTTCACATTCTAGCAGTTCACACTAGTGAGGAACATGTCTCTTGATCATTAAAATATGTTTGCAATTAGTAATCTAGACACTCACTGATGTGCAAATCTCTATCTGAATGAAAGCTTTTAAAGATTAATAAACGAAACTTAAAAAGGGAATAAGAAAAAAAGAAAAGAACCAAATTTTCATGTAAAGATAAAATGAATGCTTCCTTTCATAATTTTTAACTTAAGACATCTTAGGTGGGCCTTTTAGGGTAAATTCATTATTGTACACCCAGCACTCTTAATGCTGCTGCACTAAGGGCGATATCCTTTTATGTTTATAAGTATATCCAGTTTTACACATACTTAAAATCAAACACATTCAACAAGCTTTCTGAAAAGCGCCCACTTCCTAGCAGAACAGAAAACTACCCCGACAGCTCTTGTGCCTTGCAGAAGGTTGCACTGTAAAAACAAAAGTAAAACCAACTCCACCCTCCAGCATGCGCACACTGATGTTCGGGTCTCTTTCAGAGCATACATAAAATTTCTGTTTGGATAAAACTTGCTCTGGCTTCTGTTTACGTCTAACTCATCTTAATGCGTGCACTTTTTTAAAGATTTCATTTCTCACTTTTGAAACAATTTAATGTCAGAACACATTTTAAATCCAATAAAAAATAAATCAGAGAAAAGTAAAACTCTTTGAAATTCACTTCCCTCTGCTTTACTGCTTGCTTTTAGTCTTGGTTGAAAACCAAGCCCAGAGCATTTAAAACAAGATTTATGAACTAGGCTCTTCAGGATGAATGTTTTGCAATGCACTAATGGTTAAAAATTAACTCGGACAAGTGTGTGTATGGGGGGGCGAAGTCATTTATTTTCCACCCTAGGCTTGAGGGTACAATATTAGGCTTCAATTATGCAGCATTAATATTTCTGAATATATCCATGAAATCTAAAATATGTAAATACACTTATAATAGGTGGCATTCAAAGTTAAATGGATGTATTTTTACGTTGGCTGCCCTACAGAAATCTTCTTTAGCTACCTAAATATTAGCAGGGTAACTGTAACAAATAATTCAGAAAAACCTGCTATTCAGCTTTAAATATATTTAAGACTTTTAGTAACAAAACAGAATCACAAACTACCAACAACGTTCTAAAAATGTGTATACTTCCCATTTCCTATCTTAAGTTTCACTCCATAAAAGAAAACAACCCTTAGTTAACAGGGCTACTGGGTATATGCAATGAGTTGGTTTCTGAAAATTCTTTGAAAGCTGAGGAGGTTATCAAAGAATTAAAAAAAACATTTGGATGATTATGCTGTACAGGTCTATGCTAGAAATGGAACAAAGTGAGAAAGTCTTTATCTTGGTCCTTTAAATGTGGTTAAATATATTAAACTAACAGGAAAAGCTGTACAACAGTTAAATGTAAGAAGCCAAGGGGCGTAGGGGCAGGGCAAGGACCTGCTCGGGCACAGATGGACTAAATGATTCTGTTTGAGGACACTGTGTACGGCTGTTCATTTGGTGCACTATGCAAAAGTACCTCGGCAAGGTGACATGGGGTGAGGCACTGAAATCCAGGCTACTCCACCCACCACACCACATAGGGAGAAAAGGGCATCACACCTCCTTCCCAGCAATACACCATCGTGGTAGCAACTGCCCGATAGTGCCTCCTTTAGATTTGCATTAAAGTCCTTACAAGCTCCCAGAGCCCTAGCTGAGAGTATGGGGTTGGGTGGAAGGAGACAAAGAATAGGCCACTAGAAAGACAGGATAGGAGGAGAGAGGCGCAGAATGAGGCCAGCACTGGCAGGACCTTAACAGCTTCAGCAGAGACACAGAGCAGGAACAGGGTCCCGTGGCTCAGTATGTGTCTGCTCACATAACCTTAACAGCAGGCCCAGAAGAGAGGCCACATCCTATTTGGTCCAGAAAAGCTGAGCAACCTGATGAAGAACTGCATAGTTAAGGAGCAACCCGCTGCCTTGAGAAGCCGTGTTCTTCCCACGGCAGGTCTGACAGGGTCTGACAGCGCCATGTGGAGCCTGACCCCAAAGCCTGCACACATCACCTGGTTCTTGGCTCTGTGTGGCCCATGGAAACTCACTTCACACATTTTTAGCTTCTGTCATGCTAGGAACTCTGGGGAACTTTCTGAATGGACACTGACAGTAGCTCTACGGCTCAGGAAGGCCTGGAGAGCTGTGGCTGCAGCAGGCCAAGCTATGTCCAGGTGAGGTGCACATCTGGCAGGTGGCATAGTCACATGGTCTTAGCACCATCGTATATGTTGTTATTCAAAGACTGAGTTTACTGCTTTTGTCAGATACAAAACCATTATTTTTGTATTCTGCAATCCACTATGAATAAATCCTTAAAGTCAAATCTACTTTAAATAAATCCTTGAGTCAAAATACTATTTCTTCTTTTCTTCAAACTGTACCCATTTTTCAAGGTCCACGTGAAGGCATATTTTTTTCGTAAGCTTTGTCTGTCAACTACCCTGAAAAGTCACAGGCTCTGTACATCTTTTTGTACGTACAGGACAGGCCTTACCACCTAGCATTTCCTCAGATATTATGTTCTAATATTTGCACTACAGGTTTTTTTGTTTGTTTGTTTGTCTTGGCACCAGAAATCAAACTCAGGGCCTGACTTGATATTTTTGCCTCAAATATCATCAGATTTATCAAGTTCTATCTGGTAAAAAGTAGCAAAGATTTCAATCTGTCCCCACAATAGACACTGACTTTTGTCCCTGTTAAATATCATTTAGGCACTCATTTCTATTCAGAGCTACAAAGTTATTACCAAAGTTATGACTGTTTGCAGATGTTATGGGGGTGCTTCTGGAGCCCCCTGATTCTAACATACTGGAGTGAGGATGAAGGACTTTGGAAAGGGGTTGCCTTCCTAGCAGGACTGACGAATCTGGCAAATCCTATCATCACCTCAGCATGCCCTGCTGGGCACCTGCACTGCCACCCTTCCTGAAGACAGACAGATGTACTCCGGGTAATGGCGGTTCTGAAGTAGCAGAAAAGCAAGCTTAAATCTCCCTTGTGTGACACTGGTCACTGTACCCGCACTCCTACTCAGACAGAAAGTACCACAAAAATCTGCGTGAGTTAGTGTCAAAAATAACAAGTGCATGTGCTTTCATTTACCCTTAGGCATAGATTCAGACTACAAGCAGCATTTCCCACTGGTCCTAAAACTTTATTATAGGATCCTTGTCACCATTGTGAACAACAAGCTCCATTAGCCAACTTTAAATCCATGCACATCAATGAGAGGTTGTTGGAACTTTCTATGGTAGGAGAAAAAGACACCCATTTAGATGAAATCCACTGCTCACATGGTCTACACTTCCTGGTTTGTTAAACGGCTGCTTTCAAAGAAGCTCCTGGCTTGCTGCACCTCGCTGCAGTAAACACGCTTTCACACCACCAGTGTCACTGACAGTGTTTATCTGTACGCGCTCAGCACACATACTTCCAAAACACACAGTCCTAAATACTTTCAATTCTACAGTAATTACAAGTCTCCTACTTTACAAGAATTAGAAAAACCATTTCAACAACTAAAATGAACCCCATAAATTTATGCAGCTATTAGAAGTCTAACAGTTGACAGGTACAGATGGCTCTCCCAATTCTTATCTAAAACAAAGACAACTGAAAATCCACTAAGTTGAAATCTGAGTATATACTGTATATAATACTACTCCATTTAAAAAAAATCACAAGGTAACATATTTCTATAGATTGTAATCTATCAGAAACTTATTTTACTTCACAGGAAGCCTAAACCTAACTCATAGGTATGTACGTATGTATGCATGTATGTATGTATTGTGCTGGGGAGCAGACCTAGGGTGCATTCCCAGCCCTTTTTATTTTGAGGCACAGTCTTGCTAAGTCACCCAGGCTAGGCTTGAACTTGTGATCCTCCTGCCTCAGCTTTCGAGAATGGGGGTTACAAGTGTGCATCATTACACTTTGCTAAAGCCGCCACTTCTAAGCCTGGAAAAGCAAGCAAGCAAAGCAAGCAAACAAATGCTAGACGTTGCAAAGCTTACCTGGAGCTGGCTGTCGTTCGTTCCATTCAGTTGAGATTAAAATTTCTATAACTTTTATGAGGTTTTCATTACTATCAGAGCTGCAAGAGAGAGGGCTTTGTTAGAAACCTGACACCTAACAATCAAACACATTTTTATTTATCCACAATCCACTGATGCTCACCCATATTCTTAATCCGCATAATTATATTCTAATTTCATATCTGTGAAGCTGAGAATAAGTTTAATGACCAGTCACCTTAGGGTGACCTTCAGCACCTCAAACATACATTTCTCTTATTTCACTCACCTGGCTGCAGGAAATCTGAAAAGCATCGGGCTGAAAATTTCTGCGAGTACTCTTGCGCTCAAAAGATTTTTGCTGAAAGACTGAGAGAGCTTGAAGAAATGTTTTAGCAAATACTGAAGCGTAAGCCAATACTGATGAGGTATAGTGGGCGACCTAATGAGCTTCTTCAAGAGCTGGGTATACTCTTCTGAGCTTTGTACTTCTACAAGTTAAAATAGAAAGAACAAAGAATTAAGACCGTGTCTAGGTGTCAGCGCACGAATGTATCTCTGCCATGTCTGTCCTTTCCCATGTGCACTGAGGGACTCACTCACGGTGTCTTCAGGAGAGGTACACAGGGCATTTGTCCTTCTCATTAGAAAAGGCACACTGTAAGACCGCAGAAGTCTTAAGTCAAATGCTAATGCAAGAACCTCTTTGTGTTAAAAAAAAAAAGTGTAAGATGTTTGGGGTGTGCTGGCAGAAAAATCTGCCCTCTACCGAGCAGCTTCAAGTGTGATTGGCTAATGCTGAGGAGAATCAGATAAGCACCGCAGGTCTAACTTTGAAAGTTATAAACCACAACTTCCTGTCCCCAAAGCACTGAACTGAGCCTCACCTCCCAGAACTGAGCCCTCCTGCCCCAACACATTTTACTGTGGGCACTTGGGGGATGGGGTGGGGTGGAGTTTGCAAGAACAACTCAATCACGGGACCCTAGACCTAGCTCCCTACATGTAACACTAGTACTGGGAACACCGTGCGCTTCACAGACATAGCAATCTTTGTCAATACTGATCAAAGGTTAACAGTCAGCCAGTTCAACTCATGGACACGCTTCTAAGCAAATGAGAACTGGATGCTCTGATAAGGGAGGGAATTTCTGTCAGAAGGGAGGGGTAAGGGCAGCTTGCTAGTACTTTCTAAGCCCTATTTGTATGATGCACTTCACAGTCTACAACTATATTCCCGCCTTAAAATTATATTCAATGAGGTTGTCAGAAGAGAAAACAGACCTTGGGCTAAAGAAATCATTTCACTGTAAACGGCTACTGGAATGACAGGATTTGGTAAGTCCAGGAGATAGCGTTTAAAAGCATCTGCTAAAACTTGCACATCGACCATTTCTAAGTCCACAGAGGCAGCATCTAGGAAAGAAACAATTTAAGAAAGATTTTAGACATTTATTTTTATATCTGAGGTTAACTGTCAAACATGGGACTTAAATGTGACACAGGAAAGGGAGAAAATAAGGACAAACAAAAGCCATTAGGGCCAATACAAGTGTCTCCCGTTAGGCTTTTCCCCAGATTTCGAATAGGATAATTTTTCTCTGTGTAGGTATGTGCCACACACTGCCAGCATTAGCATGCCAAGCTCCTAGCCTATGATGTCACTAGCATATTCCCGACTTTGGAGCAACAAAACGTAATGGTACTATTATGGGTAAGTTATACCCTGTGCAAAATTATACGTTTAAGCCTAGAGTCCCGATACCTTAGAAACTGATGTTTAGAGATAAGGCCCTTAAAACTGACTAGGCTAAAATGAGGCCATTAGAGTGCCCCTACTCCAACCTGACTGGCATCTCTACAAAAAGAGGAGATGAGGACACATAGACACCAGAGATGTCTGCACAGAGGAGAGACTGTGTGAGGACACAGGGAGAAGTCATCCCTGAAAGCCAAGGAAAGCAAATGCACCTGTGCCTTCATCTTAGACACTCAGGCCCTTGAACTGTGAGAAATATACTTCTATTTTGTAAGCTTCTCACTCGGTAGAATCTCACCACATTCCCAAAGCCGCTGGAGTGGGGTCCTCCGTATGCAAATGTTTCCTAAAACCATGACAGGAAGATGAGAGATGCAAATTCTCAGATTTCCTTCAATTTGAATTGATAAACAGTGCATGTCAGGATTACTGTAAATGTAACCTAACAGAGTGATAGATTAAATGCTAAGATACTATGGAAATGCAACTGAGAATTCAATCTGCAGGATATCCATAAAAATAATCTGCCCAGTTTCTAGATGTTGCCCCCTGAGTTTGACTAATCTAACCTGTGGATGTCAGTCCTTGGCAGAATATAAGATAAACATGTCTATCTGGTAAATTCCCAGGCAGGAAAAGAGGTTGAGCAATTCAGTAAGGATGCTTTGAGAGCTCGTTATGCACACACTGAGTCTGCAGAATGGAAAAAGGCACCATGTCCAGGAGTAGCCAGGCCGGGGACAGGAATAACTGCCAGCATCTAGAAACCAGGAGAGGTGACTGGCTGCTGCTGAAGGATGCACACTAGTGACCGCAAGCTTACAGGAGGATGGAGAAAGGGTGGGGCTGCTGGGCAAACTGCTGCATTTTTATATGACTTTATTAACTGCAGTGTTTGAAGAATAAAAGGGAAAGGGACACTGCTGGTAGCAAAGGTCCTAGTTTTGGTAATCAGAAACAAAGCCATGAGGTCTGAATGCTAATGCCTCCACTGTCCCGGCTATAAATCCGACATACTGCACTAAGGAGGCAAATGTTATGAAACAGAGTCAACGACACCACAGAGTCTTAAGAAAAGTCATCCTAAATGCAGTATGGGTATGGAAAAATGATTAATCTCAGAAGGTGAAGTAACAAACTGCTATGACTCGTAAACATCCTACAAAAATTAATCAGAAGTAATCACATCTCTAACAAGTACGGAAAGGGCAATACTGTTGAAAATGCGCAGTTACAGGTGAACGTAAGTAATATTAAATAAAATGGTACATGTAACACAATAGGAACAGCCCGCACTCACTGACTATTTGGCAAGCTTCTGGTTCCCCATATACTTTGCCCGTGTCTGTTTCACTTAATGTGTCTTTACCTAGCAAATTAATATCATTGAATTTGTTCATCCTGAGAAATGTGCTAAGCCATTTGGCAATGGCATCTCAACATGAATACGCTGAATATCCACGTCCCACTCTCATGCTGGGTCCCCTCTGTGTGGTGGCACTGCTTCTGAGCAGGCTCTCCATCATGATCTTGGCATGCAGGATGGGAATGCTGTAGGGATGTGTGTCCCTACCAGACAGGGTACCTAGGAGCAGAGTAGGGCTGTGTCCCTCATCTGCCCTTCTGGCATCAGGGTGCCCCACACAGGATGTGTTCAAGATTTGTGGACAATGCCCGAGAGTGAAGTCACTCACTAATGCTCTTCTTTGCAACCAGGCATGTGTCTCAGTGAACCTCGATGATATCCAAATGAAATAGCCACACATGGGTCTTTGGATAAGCTTGCCACATGTCAAATTCCACTAGTCCTGAGGACACAGGATTTATATGACATAATTTCTAACTTCTAAAGTTCCTTGGAGTTTATGATTTCTGCTCAGTAATATTCCTTTTCTGCATTAAAATTAGCCTAATAAACTCTTCTGATAGCTATTGATAGCTGCCATGGGGTGACCTCTGAGGAGCTACGTAACCTTTAGGTTTGGGTTAGCAGACTTGATATTCTTTTCTACCTCCTTTTCCACTGTGACTGCTCTTGATGGGCAGCCAGTAAACCCTTTTCCCTCTGAATGGGTAGCCAGTAAACCCTCTAACCTCGCACTCCTCTTGCCCACTGGGAAGGCACCTCCTCGCTGCCTGATTCCTCTCTAGGTTAGTGGAGCCCAATGGGAGTAATGTCTGTGGACATGCAGTCCTGACTGTCACAACCTGAGGAAGATGCTCCGGCACCTCACAGGTACACTGAAGAATGTGGTGAAACGTGGTATCACGCACACAGCAGCCGCCTACTCCTCTAACAAAGATTTACCTAGCCTAATATGTCAGGAGAGCCTCAGCAGAATGCCCGTCTCAGGTCAGGAGAAACCAAAGAACGTCAGAAGAAAATTCATACCATTAAAACTCCAATGGGACATTGTTAAGATTAATTCATTTTAGAACAAAATAGTTTTTTAAAAAATGAACATGGGTTTTTGTATTGAGAACACTGTGGACACAATCTTTGATACTTAGGCACCAAAAAATGTTAAGAGAATTAATTTACCTGAAAATCAGCTTCTTTTTCTAGGGGGTTGATCTACATATTAACTTATACACAAAGATAATATAGAGATCAAATAAAAAAAAAAGCAAATGGTAATCAAAGTGCAGGGTTTTTTGTTTTTGTTGTTGCCTGTATTTGTCCAGTGCAGACAGTAGAAATTCACGAGGTTGTTTTAAAGCCCTGATTTTTTTTTCCAGGTGTGAGTGATTTGTCTTGTAGTTTCTTGCAGGGCAGTATATTATAGCTACTGAACAACCTTCAAGCTGGAAACAGTTTTGGCAGGTCCACTCCAAGTCTGGATGATTTTTATTTGGGGGGGGGCACAAAAATTCACTTCTGTACACAGAATCCAAATGAAACTAGTTTTCTCCCTGTGTGTCATGAATTCAGTGAGGAAAGAAAGGCTGTCAAAACATTGATGACGTGAATCTTGGTTTAGTCCCTCTCAAGGGTGGTGTGAAAAAAAATTATTTTGGCTAACCTGCATCATTTTGTATAGGGCAGGTTAAAAACCTAACCACTAAGTTCTCAAATAACTTCCATTTCATCAGCTTCTGATGTCTTAACATTTCCTGTGACTTTTTTTTTTTTTTTTTTGTCTTTTTCATTTTCATTTTTATCGGTACCGGGGATCGAACTCACGACCGCCTGCTTGCAAGGCAGGTGCTTATGCCGCTGAGCTAAACCTCCAGCCCCGTGACTTTTAACATGTTCAATTTGACCAATATTCTAACCAAAACATGTATCTTTATTTCAACTGGCTGAGGACAAAAGTCAGCATTTCCTTAACACTCTGGGCAAGGCAGTCAGAATTCAAAAACATAAACCTTTCACCTTGAACTTTCTAATGACCTACCCTGCTTAGAGTGGAGGAGATACAGCGCAAAGATGATATGCCCCGTGTGTGTGAGGCTGGTCCTCACGGACTGCCGGAAAATCAAGCTCAAAAAAGGACTTTCTTTTAAGTTTCAAAAGCTTTGAACAGTACATTTCAAGGGAAAGCATTTTCTGATAAAGATCACATTCTTTCCTCCAAGAAGCATCTTTTCTAAAAGTTTTCCTAAAGCACCTCATTCTGAAGCTGCCTCAGATTTCAAATTCTCATCGGCTATACTATTTGGCCATGTCTGGCAATTACACTTCTGAAAGAGCTTCTTCCAGAACTGAGTTTTACTCTCTTTGGTTCAAACATCCAAATGCAGTTAACATAGTGTGGGGCAGAAAGTGTAATAACTGGAAACACAGAAGTACTATGAGGGGACGAAGGGTTGGAGAGATTCTAAAAGTTCACATGAGACGATGATTGCGGAAATGATGGCAGATAAACGGATTTCTGCAGGCTTTTGCTTTTTGTTTCCTGTACAGCAGAGGAAGAGTGAAGTGAATACTGTATAAATCTCCTCCCACTTGGCGGAGTTAATCAGTGCTGGCGCTGGCTGGGTCAGCCATAGAAGGCAGGGTCTTCAGTTCTCAACTCCCCATCAGCACCGTTCTGTTGGTTAGCTTGAGGTCCACCACAGTGGGGGTTCTGACACCTTACAGCATTGAAATGAGCAAATGCTACAAATCAGTGCTTCTTCTTTCCTGAGTGGTTTACTAGCATACCATGAAGTAAATTGATATTGGTGGTATGGATAGAACTATGATAGGGAAAAGCGAGGAAGAAAGGAAGCAAGGCAAAAAGATGGATGGGAAAAGGAAGAAGACAAAGGCAGTGAAAGGAACAGGGTGTCACAAAGAGACTTTGCAAAAGGACACAGGCTTAAAAATATTTTTTAGCTTATGCAGACAAATTCGAAATGGTGAAATGGTGAGCGATAGTAGACATACAGTCAGAGAAAGCGCTTCTATCCACTGCAGCCCCTATAAATGCTAGGGGCGCTCAGGGCTCAAGAGCCCATGGAGAGGCAGATCACCTGTGTGCTCTCACTGGGGTGTCACACATCGAAGCTCTACATGGGTTGCACAGTTAATAAGCCCGAGGGAACTGTGCCTGATTTCAGCATTACCTTGAAACTTAGAACGCTGTATGGATTAGATAACTTTTGTATATGTACTAGCAGAAACAGAAAAGTAAGACCTATCTTTCCCATCTGTGTCTGTAGCTCTGTGACACTCACCACAGTCAAGAAGCTGTCGTAATTCTGCAGGGTTGCCAGAGCTCTGTGTCCTGTACAGCGTTGCACATTCCAGACCTAGGACACAAAACAGATGATCGTGGATGCAAGACACGGATCTCTGGAGAATCCAGGGGCCTGCTGCCAGGGAGATGCTCCAGTTTCCATCCAGTGTCTGTTCTAGAGGTGTACCGAATATTCTTGGAAGTCGACTCCTACCATTACACTTATCTGGCATGTCAATAACTTTGGCAGAACCAGCTGGCCACTAAGAAGCAAGTTAATCATATTTATTAAATGATGGAGGACTTAATAGTTTCCATACAGTAACTACATGTTAATCTTGAGTCAGAAATCACAGGCCAGAAATATTTCCCTAGTATAAAACCCCAAATATCTGGTGTGTCTAGCACGGTACTTGCTCACAGCAGGTAATAAGAAATTTACTTAACAAATGCCCCAGAGATACATACAAATTACAAGAGCTATGCGATAGGGGCCTCACAATAAACTAACTCTCCTTAGCAGTCCATTTAGTTACCTTTCTTTTCAATGGCTTCCACCAGCCTGATAAGGAGAGGCGGGGCAATGTCAGGAGGTGCAAATTGCTCTGCCAGATCCGGAAGGGTCAAAGCTGCAAACAGACAAAACGCCACATTACATTTCTTGTAGGGGAGTCAAACGCAATGACTACAATGAAGAATACTCCAACACAAAATAATTTAATTAAATCTGACTACAGCAAACACAAGAACTGAGCAAGAAGGACTCCTACACCAGACTGCATGTTCTCGGGCCATGGGAGCATGCCTGCTTTCTTTCCTGTAGGTGCCAACTCAGGGTGCCTACCCAGAATTCCAGATCTCCCTGCCAGAGGGATTCATATGGCCTTTCTCCAGGACAGACTTCCTTAACTGGGTGTACCCTGTATCCCAGAGGTGGGCTAAGACTAGACGGGAGAGGATCGGGGAGACTGGAGTTTGGGGGTACAAACTGAAGCCACAGATAAGCAGGTCCAGCCTTCTTATCTATCATGCTCTGGGGCAGCACTTCAAGGAAACAAGGAATAGGAACTCAGACCTGGCCTCCTGGGATTAGGAAAATACCACTGCCCAGAGAAAAGCACAGAACAGATTTTTTTTTTTTTTTTTTTTTTGTACCAGGGATTGGACTCAGGACCTCACGCTTGCCAAGCAGGCGAAGCAGAAAATAGATTTTATTGAACAGTTTGTCATGATGCACAGCTAACTTATTTATGTTTGGGATACTTGCCCTCTTTGTGTACTCTGGTCCCATAAAAGCCAGGGTGGTTGTCCACCGGATATTAAATAAAGTCCCTATGTAACTGCTAATGAACCCTTTATTTGCTTATGCATTTTTGGACAGTTAGTAGATTACGAAATGCAAGACCTTGTATCAGTTGTGTTTCCATGCTTTATTTTCATGTTTTAGATTTGTAAGTAGTGCTACAAAAAGAAATCTAAGGGGCTGGGGATTTAGCTCAGTGGCATAAACACCCGCCTTGCAAGCAAGCGGTCGTGAGTTCGATCCCCAGTACTGGGGGGGGGGGGGACGGAATCTAACTGGACGATATTTACAAACCACTTCCTCTGATGTTACAATTGACAACCATATTCCCGCTCCCCCAAAAAAGTTTAAGTAAAAATATTTTTCTCAAAATATGCCAGAAGAGGGAGCTAAATATACTCAATACAGTTGCAATATTATTTCACTAAGATTTTAATAGTACAATTCCTTATTATAAGCCATATACCATGTTAGGCAAATTTCTAATTAAGTCCATATTTCAAGTACTAAGAGTCAACACAGACAACAGATTCATGATGCCTAAGTAAAATTATATTATTAAATTCTGACCTCAGAGAACTATATATAATTTAATTCAGTTTGTAAACCTTAAGCCCTCTAGTTTAAGACCCCACAGATTGCAGTATGTTCTGTGATGGACGGACACAGGTGATTAGCCCCACAACCACCCAGGATGAAAGAAGAGCTAAATTGTGAAGGACAGTTCCATAGCATCATATAGATTTCTTTTGGTGATTCTCCCCAAAACATCCAGCAATGACATCTCTAAGTCTTGAAATGTTACCTACTATTAGTGTATCTGAAAACCATTCAAAATATTCATGTCCTCAAAATTTCATAGTCTTTAATGAAAGGGATTTTAAAATTAAAAAAGAAATACTATAAAATGAAAAAAACACACTCTTTCATTTCCCCTGGTAAACTGTAAACCAATTCCTTGGCCTCAGTGCATTTTTTTAGCTCATAAAAGTATCTTCTATGAATACCTTCTATACTGAATGAAACGGACACAATCAGTATATGCAAAAGAAGGAAACTTCCAGATTAAGAAATGGTAGGGAGTAATTTTACTTATTAGCACTCACTATAGCATCCTTTCAACCCAATGGGTCTTAGCATACTTCAAAAAGTTAAAGGTTAAATAGTAAATACACACACATACACAATACTCTAACATGCCAAATGCTCTTCCCTTGCCTCATTAAAAAAAACAACACTTTTTAAATTTGAAAAAAAAAAAAAAAAAAAAAAAAACTACTTCAGCGCTGGCATTGAAAATAAAATCGCTTAATAAACGTTTATCTCCTTCCTGGATCTTATCAACACGATCACTTCTGCAGGCGAATATGAAAGTTGAATTAAATGATAATTAAAGATTTCATCTAATTGTGATTGAAATATATAACCAACAGTTGTTACATTGCTAGGCTGGCAAACACTACAAACAAAAAGGTTTCCATCTCTCTTTGTTCATTTGGTTTGAAAAACACAGAATTATAAGCAAAATACAAATGAACAGAACAGCATTCTTCTAAAGTATGCATGTTGATCTTCTTTAAGCTTTTTTATACCTGATCAAGGAATACAAGTGATTTTGAAGCCTGCTGTATGTAGCATGCCAAGTCTGGAAAACCAAGTTTTCTCTTAAGAATATGGGAAAATTTGTAAGATCCCACTACTGCAGCTCAACTTCCATTTTTCACTTAGCTGAATCATTTTTCTTCAAAAGAAATTAGTATTGCACCACAAAAAAGAACAGCCAAAAGGCCTAAAAGTGGCAAATCCAACATACACATTATTCCAAAAGAAAGGAGGAATTAGTCCTCTTCACTTCTGACAAGGGCACCATGGAGCCAGGTGTCCCAGCTTCCTGTAGAAACAATTTTTGATGACACATAAGAAGCTGCATTTTCTACTCATTCTGTTTTCCCCCTTTGTCTTTGCCCAAGTGGCTGCCAATCACACAGAGTAGAACAGTGTCTTCTCTCCACAATTCAGCCTCCTCAAACCACCAACATGGACAGGCCCCGGCAGTCCTGGGCACCAGTGGCGTGTGGGAGATGGTGGCATTCTTTGCAGCAAGTGGTGCCAACACCACTGCACAGTGCAAGATGAAACCAGCACACAGCCGCACCTTTTGGAGGCGTTCTCAGTAAAACAAAGGTATTTTAAAGTTAGTGCTTGGCAGGGCTGAGTGGAAAGTTTAAACTGAAACACCAGGACTGCAGAGAATGCCAAAGCTGAGTATTTCATTACTGATGGAAACAGCTTGAAAGTACGTGAAAAACTGCCACTTGCCTCCGATGCAACACACCAAATATACCAAGACGATGTGTGTACAAATATGGACAAATATTAAATCAAGATGTCCTACTTTGTCAGAAACAATCCTTCTCATGACTTAAAAAAAAGTATGTACATTTTGATAAGCAAAAATTCTATTTTTTTCTTTAAAAAAACTATACCTACAACATTTAGGACCTTGAATTTAAACTTCTTGAATTCTGTGGATTATACCCCACTGGCCTGTGCTCTTTGGGTAGGATGATGCTAAGAGACAAAAACAGCAAAAAATGAACTTCAGATTCCTTAATTTTAATACCTACTTAATTAGCAGCACAGAAATGACCAGAAGCAAAAACACAAAGCTAGAATCCTGAGTTTTAATCTCAGCTTTACCTATTCTTGGTTGTAATCTTGGACAACACCTAGGAAGTAGATAGCACAGATGATGTTAATAGAAGAATTCTTGATGTAATATTTATTAACAGATTTTTGCAAGCCTCAGTCACAATGGCAAATTTTAAGACTGAAAATATCAAGAATCTTCTCCATACTTCTTAAAGGTGACAAGCGAGAAGCACATTTGACAGGGCAGACAATATCTTGCCTTTCTTTCTACAAACAATATTATCTTTTGAGAGGTCAATTCAATTACCTCCTACTTTTAATTTATCACACTTTTTCCCAATAAGGACTACAATATTGATCTGAGCTACCGAAATTCACTTTTCAGAATGTGAAGAACAAAATGAAAGTGGAATGATTGAGTATTAAGCTTGGCAGAAACAAGAACTGTTTTTGAGAGGCAGGGAAGAATGTAGGCACTGCAACGGGAGTAAAGAGAATAGATGTGAAAGTAAATCTTCAGCCATAAAGCATTATTTTTAGAGATAACTAGTAGGAGGGAATTTATTAATAGAGTTGCCAACAGATCTAAAGTAGAAATCTGCAAATCTCCTCACATACCCCAAACTAATTAGTCTTTAATATCTGAAGTTTATCTTAACTCACTTATCTCTTCTGTTGTGCAGCCTAAAAACAAATGACAGGGATATAAGATTCTTGGCTCAGTTATTTATTTTTTTTAAGACAACAGATTGGCATCCGAAACAAACAGCAGGCGAAGATCTTACTAAGCACAAGCAGATATTACAGCTTTGTGGCGCATGGCCTCAGCTAAAATCTCAGAGAGAAGAGCTCACTGAAATGCAAGATTACACTTAATCTTTGAGAGGCAGCCTAATTAACTGTGATTCTTATCATGTAAATTGGAGTCCGATTTAAAGATGACAACTTACAGTGTACAGCAAATTAAAATGCTGGGCAGGAGGCAAATGGAGAAGAAAAGGACCCTCCTTGCCTGGAAAACAATTTATAGTTATGTCCAAGGAACTTCAGAGGCCAGTGATTTGCAAGGGAGGCTGTTTGGTGTTGGCTTATACAGATTTCATATGAAGTGTGACCCAGATGACCCAAAAAAAGGAAAGGAGGACAGTGGGCATTTGTGTTGAGTGGATGAATGAACATTACTGAACACTAACTAGGATCGTATCTCCATTCTGTTTTACAGACATGCTCCTATTATTATTATTTCCCATAGAAGTCAAATGTGTAGTCTTTATTATCCTCAGTTTACAGGTAAGGAAACTGATACTTAGAGCAATTAAGTCTCTTGGCCAATGGCAAAGCTCTAAATAGTGACCATGACTTCAGCTTGGGTCTGTCTTCTACCCATCAGACCACACAGTCCTAGTCAAGGAAAGAAACCTGTATTTCCCAACATTTCCACCAAGCCTCTCTTACAAGGGTGTGTGATGTCCAATCCCGTGAGGAAATACTTACAATACTTCCTGATGGGCTCAAGTTAAGCTATCTTGTTTCTGCGTCCTGTCGCTAAAAAGGTCAAGACATTCTCCTTCAATGCAAATTATTCTGATATGTGGATAATCAACAGCATGGTCAGCAAAGTGATGGGTGCCACTGGGATGTAGGGGCACTGCGGAAGAACCAGGCAATGTTAGC